GCTAACAGATGAATGTCTGGTCACTAGAAGGACTCAGGTCCCAATGCAAGAAACTTTTCATTAAGGAAACAAGGAAGATGGGGCTAGCATTGTGGTGTAGTGGGCTAAGCCACTGCCTGGGATGTCAGCATCCCATTTGGGAGCCAGTTTGAGTCCCAGCTGTTCCACTTCTGATCCAGATCCCAGCTAAGGTGCCTGAGAAAGCAGCAGAAGATGACCCAAGTGCTTGAGCCCCTGCCATTACCTGGGAGACCCAGATGGAATTTCTGGCTCCTGGCTTTGGCCTGTCCCAGCCCTGGTTGTTGCAGCCTTCTGAGGAGTTAACCAGTGCTCGCTCTCACTCTCGCTCTCTCCATCTCTCCATCTCTCTCCCTCTTTCTCCCTCTCTCTCTCCCTCTATAACTCTGCCTTTCCAATAAATAAATAAACTTCTTAAAAAAAAAAAACAAGGTAGAAGGTTAGGAATTTGTTTACTAGAGAGGTGATTAGAGGGCAGTGATTCAGCCACTCTGGGTCTTAGAAATGAGATAACAATCCAATATCCAGGTGTATTATTGCTGAAATTTGAGTGGGACCAGCCACAAGACACCCTGGGTTACTGAGGTCCCCTTTGAAAGCAAATAGAGCTGGCCTGGAACATCCTTGCACATACAGTAGAATGTTAACACCCAGCTCTAAAAATCAAGAGACACAGGGTCCAAGAACCTGGAAACCACTTTTTTCTACCACTCTCCTCCTTGCCCAGTTGCAAAAGAAGGTATCAAGTTTATTCAGTTATCCCTGTGTCCTTATCAACTAAGCAATTTGCTAGAGTTTTAACTTATAAAAGGAAAAAGCAAAGTTGCTTTAATTGTACTTGTCTTTCCCAGATATAAGGGGAAGGACTACATCAGAAAGACAGAAAACCATGAAATTTGTAAGATATAACCACTCTTCCATACATGTTTAAAACATGTGTACTTGAGCAGAAATGTAACTCATGTGATATTCATTTACACTATAAGCATCAAAATATTGTTTACCAGGAGCAATTTAATGCCCACAAAAATTTCTGAACCTTTTCAGAAAGCTTTTAATCCATTTTCCTCATCAAAACAGGAAGCTGTATTTGCCTACTGTCAACTGACTCAGTCATGAAAAAAATTTCAAATTCCCTTAAAATTTCCAAGGCCATGAATTTTAGCAGACATTCAGTATGGCAGTTAGGTTCCCTAGCCCCACAAAAGCAAAAACCAAGTTTGCCCAGATAGGTGGATCAGTTTCCTGCAGGTGTTACCAGAAGCTGACCTTATCCAGTGGGTAGGGTTCCTGTATATCACATACTGCCTTTGTGTCATTTACCTTTCCATAACAATCTTGTACCTTCTTTATTCCTTGCCTGACTTTATTCCCTCTCTTCCCATTTGCATTTTCACAATGAATCATATCTGATATGACAAACTATCATGCTCTTTTCTATTCAACATCGTTATCAATGATTTGGATGAGGATACAGGCAGCTCAGGTGCTTATAAGTCGAACATATTGAGAGGAGAGGTTAATCTACTACTAGATGATAGAGATGACTGGTTCAAATCATCAGTTAAAAGAAAAAGTGAAAGTTCATTCCCTATTTATAGAAAATCTATATTTGAGGTATGTCTATATAAATGCACTGCAAAGAGCACAACTTTTGAAAGGTCATAGTTTAAGAAGAACATCAGCAAACCAAAAGTGGTTTCTCAATGGAGAATAATTTAAATTGAGAATAATCTAAATATCTTGACATTATAGGAATTGGGGGCACTTAGTTTGAAGATAAGAAAACTTTGGGAAAATAAGTAGTAAGACTTTTCATCCCCCAGTCTTTGAGAAGGTACATGAACAAGTACCAATACATTTTGTCATCAGATTCATACAGAGACCAGTGGTCTAGACGACCTCAAATATCTTTCCATATTGGAGATTCTGTGCTTTTTCTCCACCCAGGCCTATCCAGACCTTCTCCTTTGGGGTAGGTCAGCCAGTTTAGAAATGTACTCCTGCATTGGAATTTCCCAATGTAAAGTTTCACTTTAAAAATGATACTTTCACATCAACTTTTGACAGGTGTATTTTGGTTTTCTGAGGCTTTTCTCAGAGGGCTGCTTCTGTAAGGGTAGAAGACACAATGACATCCAGGCCTGGATTTGAAGCATCTTATTAATTTGCAATCAACTCCCTTTTGCATAGGCACATCGAAGTCTTCTTTTTTTTTTTTAAATATCTAAGAACAAATCCCTTTTCTCCTTTCAGGATTTTTGATTATTGACTTGAGTAGCAAGAAATGAGAAATGTATTCGGTGATGGAAGAAAATAATATTTATCATTTCTTATGACATTTAAGAAAATGGGAAAGTAGGGTAAGCTCTTTTAAGTAACTATCCTAAAGGTTGAATATTTGGCTGCTTTCTTTTTCAGCATAACCATTTACAGTTGTGACCTCAGGAGTTCCAAGACACAGGCTGGGCATTTGAATGACAAGCTAACAGAGTACCTGGTGGTGAGCATTCACTGTGCCCTCCAACCAAAATGTTCCATTTGGGAAGACTAAGACAAGAGCGTCAATTAACTTTACAAGATAAAAGGAGGAAGCCTTTTTCCTGATTCCTTTTACCACTGTGAGAAATGAAAGGACTCCACTTCCAAAAAAAAAAAATGAATTTTTATAGTGTCAGCATACTTTTTATAAACTGCTTTTTTATGATACCATGCTCTGTATTGGAAAAATTTTAGACTTGTGAGGAAAGTCTGAGTTTTTGCAAAGTAGAGGAGCAGTATCATATTTAAACCATTTGTTCTATTTTTAAAAACTGTGTTTAAGTCTGCAGAACAATGTCTTTAAAAGTCTCTTGCAAGACATCATATAAATGTAGCATACTGCTGTCTTTCCATCATCTTATCTCCTACAATATCCTCTATGTTACAAGAGTGTGTGCTGTCCACAAAGACAGATTTCTGAGTTTCCAACGCACAACCTACTTTTCAACAGAATCCCAAGGCCCAGCATGAATTAATGTACAGCTTCCCGCATACCCTGCTATAAGAAAAAAGTAGTCAGCATGATGAAAGGGATGGGAAAGAGGTCTTGGAAGGAAATGTTAAAGGAGCCAAAGGTGTTTTACCTGCAGAAGAGAGTGATTTAAGCATAGTGCTTAAGTCTGTTCAGATTTCTTTTCCAAAGGCAGTAAATAATTAAGCACATAAATAATGATGGTCCATCGTCCACAGAGAACCAACAAAAGGAAATATATTTAGGTTATATCCACAGGGCTTGCTGTTGCACAAAAGAAGGTCTTTTCAACATTTGAGTGATAAAGCAGTAAAATGATCTATTCTGAGAGGTTACAGAAATTTTCCTGCAGTGCTTCCATAAGAGAAGAGTTGTCCCTCTGTCTTGGATGGTTTAAATAAAGAAGGTCTGTGGCTAAAATATAGAATTGGTGCCTTTTGGCCCAATAATCCAAGACAGAGATGAATCCATCCTATTAAAAAGGCCAGTAGGAAGTATTCCCAGAGCTTTACCTTGGCAATCAATCCCAGTACTTAGAAACCTTTGAGAATTCCTCTTCATAGACCTTAAGTCTGATTCACAATATATCTGAGGGGTCCTTGATTTCCTTGCAGGTGCAGTACCAATGTTCACACTGGCGTAGTGAGGGTCTACCTAGACTATTCTTTAATGTGCCCAACACAGAGACATTCAATAAAGAGCCCTTAGAAGAGCACATCCCTGCAAAGAATCGCATGTGCTCCTGGCAGATCTCAAAAGATATCTGCGTCAAATTCAACTGAATTAAATTAGTACATTTTCAATGACTCTTCTTTGCCCAGCTCTAGGCTAAGTGCTAGGCAGGTACATAACAAAAAAAGAAAATATATATATTGGAAGCATGTTACTGGTTTCAAGTCACTGAAATATTTGGGCTACAAATTACACAGATGCATATTAAATAAAGCAAAAAAGCTTTTGTTAAATGTCATGATGATGATGAGTAAGTGCTAAAGAAATGAGAGAAGACAGGACACCTGCAGACTTGAGTAGCTGGAAAAGGCTTCATACAGGGCATGAGACAAAGTTCGGAAATTTGAACACATCTCTTAGTTAATTTCCCATCTAAGTGACTTCCCAGATTAACCTACACTCTCCTTTTGCTCTGTAAAGCACACTCACTGATACCCACAAGCAGCTAATCACTTTTAGTTGGCAGGCAACCTGTCATGTTTCCAAATGTGAACATTTTTATACCAGCTGAATTTGTTTTTACAGCTCAGTGAAACACTATATAAAAGGATGAAACAGTGAAAAAAAAAATAAAGAACATTTCCAGGAAAGCTATTATATGCCCTGAAAACAGCTGATACAGATGAGTACCTTGAAATGTTCTTCCATTTAGACAACTGTAAAGACAGGTAACTTTTCCTAAAATCTGAAGAATTCTGTGCACAGATTGCTTTATGAGTAATTTTCTTTTCTTAGTCAAGTTTCTAAAAAAACCAACTGGAAATCATGGCTTGTGCAAAGAAGACAACATGAGCTCTAATCCCTGGACTCATATTCAGAACCCATAAATTAGCCCTGGCCATAAATTTCTTTTAAAAATATTATGTTTTCATTTATGTACTTTACAATAAAATAAACTGTCAAAATATGTGTACCATTTTTAATAATCCTTTGCTATAAATGACTTAATTAACCTGTCAACAACTTAGTCCCACAGCATTGATTAATAGCAAAGGCTTTTCTTGGCAAAAGTGACCTGAGACGCACTGGACCAGAGGAGTAAGGACATGGATTCCAGCTTATCCTTCCCTTTGGAACTTGGGCAACAGAATCCCTCCCTGGCCCCAGTTTTCTATCCCACGAAGTACCCGGGTAGATCAAATCCCTCTCCAGCCTTTTTCAGCCTCTTTACCATACTGTGAATCAATAATTCCTGCTTTCATGAGTGCTCTGTGCATTGCAAGCCCAAAACACTTACTTGTTATCAAGCAATCACTTGTACTTTTCACTATCCCAGCATAACACATCTTTAAATGTTCCAGGGCTCCAGCGTCCCTGGAGATGATCTTATTTCTCCTTGTGACTGCTTTTTCTCAGCAGGCAAATGTAGTATCTGTTTGGAACAGAAGAGAAAGCCAGGTGTGTGAGAAAAAGACACTTCCTACTAATGGAGGAATATGAATGATAGTTATTAGAGGGATTAACTTTGGACAAAAATAAATTATTGATGTATTTGGCATGTGCCTCAAGAAAAGATATGAGAGGAGCCAGCACTGTGGCTCAGTGGGTTAAAGCCCTGGCCTGAAGCGTTGATATCCCATATGGGCACCGGTTATAGTCCCAGCTGCTCCTCTCTGATCCAGCTCTCTGCTATGGCCTGGGAGAGCAGTGGAGGATGGCACAAGTCTTTGGGCCCCGTACCCACGTGGGAGACCCCGAAGAAGCTCCTGACTTCGGATCATCACAGCTCCGGCCGTTGCAGCCAATTGGGGAGTGAAGCAGCAGAACGGAGACCACTCAATCTCTCTCTGCCTCTCCTTTTCTCTCTGTGTAACTCTGACTTTCAAATAAATAAATAAATCTTTTAAAAAAAGAGAGATGAGAAACACAATAAATTCCTTTTATAGAGAGCTAGGATGTCTTTTGCCCAGTAAGGAGACACAGCTACATCTTCAGGTGGGAAAAAAGAAAAAGGACCTGAAAATGTAAATCAATTGAAGAGGACACCAAACACAATGTGGCATCTAGAATTGTATCCTAGAAATAAACAAGACATTAGTGGGAATAAATGGTGAGATCTAAATTAATTCTGATTTCTAACAGTAATGTACCAAGTTTTATTTCTCAGTTTTTTCAAATGTGCTGTGGTTATATAAAATTTTAAAATTAGAATAAGCTGAGTATAAGCTAGACTGGAATTTTCTATATTGTCTTTGCAATTTTCCTATAAACCCAAAATAAAACATTTATACAAGTTAAAGGTGAGAAGTACAAAATATGACAGAGACCCTTAGAAAACCTCATAGAAACAGGAAAGAGACACAGATAAAGAAGATAGAGAAAGGCAAAAAAGTTATAAAGAATTATAGTTCATTTTTAGCTTGTATTTATTATTCTGTACCTTTAGGGTTCTACAGCTATAGAATACAGAAAGTTGGAGGTAAATGCTCAATAGTTTTTTTGCTAACTTGCTGTACTTTACTAAAAGCAGTTTCTCCCTTATCTATTTATTACTATGTCAAACACTACCAGGATCAGAAGAAAACTTCTGGAATTCACATTTTATTTGCATAAAAATAAAATCTAGTAATCAAGGTTATCCCATCCTGTTATCCTTGCTTAAGTTTTCATCAAAGACAATTAGTTTTCCAGACAAGATTGAAATTTCCTTGGGTCAACTCCATTCCCTTTTCCTGATGCTGAGTTTTCTCTAAGAAATACCTTTTCCCATGCTACTGTGACCCTTGCATTTGGAGATCATTGACCTATAGCCCATTCCTATACTGACAAGGAGAAGAACCGTATAACCATAACTTTTTTGTAACACTTTCATTGACATGACTCACTTCCAAGAGTCCTGGACCACTTCTGAACCCACAGGACATTCTTGTAAGTCATCAGAGCCAAATTTGGGGGACAAAATATTTCTCAAAGCTCACATAATGGTGTGTTCATCAGCTCAAGAAAGCAGTAGCCAAGTTGCTGATACATGGGCAAGTCACAGGACATTTATTTTCCACTGAAGAGCAAAGAGATATTTGCAGATGGATTTTCCAGGGATCTTCCATAAACATGGAGTATAAAACACTCATGGTCTTTTCAGTTGATATATCCAAGTCTTTATATATGAGTCTTTCCTTCCATCAAGGGCCAATGGAGCCAAAGTGGTGGAGGTAGGAAAGAAAATTGTCTGAGAAAATATAATCTTAAGAGTCTCTAGAGGGGCTGGCACCATGGCTCACTTGGTCAATCCTACACCTGCGGCGCCGGCATCCCATATGGGCCCAGGTTCTAGTCCCAGTTGCTCCTCTTCCAGTCCAGCTCTCTGCTGTGGCCCAGGAGGGCAGTGGAGGACAGCCCAAGTGCTCGGGCCCCTGTACCCACATGGGAGACCAGGAGGAAGCACCTGGCTCCTGGCTTTGGATCGATGCAGCATAACGGCCGTAGCGGCCATTTTGGAGGAGAACCAATGAAAGGAAGACCTTTCTCTCTGTCCCTCCCTCTCACTGTCTATGACTCTACCTGTCAAATAAAAATTTTTTAAAAAGAGTCTCTAGAGCAGAAAAGCTACTTCAGGGATCATTTTTATTTCCCAAGATCTTATACCTAATTAAATGGTAAATTATGTTATTGAATTAAATAGAAAAAAGATTTTTTAAAGGATTTCAGTTCTAGAGTTTGTCATCTCATCCAAGTCTTTAATTATTTGGATACTTAGCCATGAAAATAATAGATACCTATTAGAGCACTTAGCAAGGAAAGAATTGTTTCGTCCACTCACAGCCATTGTCATCGACTGGTAAACACTGACCATGCACTATAGCCACATGGAGCCTGAAAAAAATGAGGGATTGCATCCACTGCTGTATCGTAAGGGATCAAGCAGATGTGCCAGTGCTTACCTGGGGAAATGCAGCCATAGGCAGGAGTGATCCACAGCCAGCTATACAATTTGTATTCTAAAATATTTATTTAGTGACCCAATCTCAGGATGTTCACTTCAAAGATACTGTGAAAGCCTATGCAGTTCAAATTCCAATTTGAAACATTAGTACACACTTTTACAACTCTTACAGTGATATGAGAACCACAAAATAAATGATCTACTGCTGTACTCTATGATTCTATCTTTTATATAATAATTTCTTCATTAGAAATGGGAAAAAAGGTGATTAACCATGAAAAATGATCATATGTCAACAAGCCCCAGGGAGTCATGAGACAAGAGGAAAGAAAGAGAGTCAGAGAGAGGAAAAAAGAAAAGCCTCTCTCTTTCCAATGCTTTCAAAACTATGCTTCTCCCAGGAGAAACATTCCTCTAAGTTTAAATGAGGCTTCTGTGGTAGCAGGTAGACAGAGGTAAATGCACCTGTTTCAGGGAGCTCACCTGGGAGAGCTTAATGAGTTACTGATCTCCTAAATACATCTGAGGGTCCAACTATTTTGTAGGAGTTGAAGAGGAATGCAGGCAGGGTTAATCCCATCCCTGAGGGAAAAATAAAATAAGAGGTGATCACTTGTCTATAGAAAGCACAGGAAACTATTACCCATGTGGGTGGAGTCCAACCATTACAGGCCAGAAGTAGAACCTGAAATACAATATAGTCTGTTCCTTTTTCTACTCAAAGACATTTGAAAGAAAAATAATGTGGTCCTCAAATTTTATCCCTCTAAGAAAGTAGCCCTCTACGTTAGGAACACTGCTGTTCAAAAAATACCTTTGAGATTCATGCCTCATAAGTAACACCACTGTATAATGAGGCATTGTTGGCCCTTCAGCTCCTAACTCCCCTTGAACGGTAGCCAAGATCAGCCTACTTCAGACTGGATTTCGTTGAATGTGCAGACATTATAGCGAGGTTATAGCAGTTGTTTAAAAGCTGAGGGACAAAATAGCCATCTACCTCTAATAATATTTTATAATAAGAAAGCAATTATCTTAATCGCTTTGTATTAGGCAACTACTTACAATAAACTCAAATGGAAGAGCTTAAGTAATAATTGAACCTCTGTTAGTATCTAGAGAGAAAAAATGCTTCATTTAAATATTAGGAAAAGTTTAGCATACACCCAAGGTCAACAAACTCTGACCTAGGGTCTTATTTTATATAAATAAATTTTCCTTGGAAAGAGGTAAACCTATTCATTCCTCTTCAACTCCTACAAAATAGTTGGACCCTCAGATGTATTTAGGAGATCAGTAACTCATTAAGCTCTCCCAGGTGAGCTCGCTGAAGCAGGTGCATTTACCTCTGTATACCTGCTACCACCGTAGCCTCATTTAAACTTGGATGAATGTTTCTCTTGGGAACCCATGGACTTACTGTCTACAACTGCATTGACAACACAATGGCAAAACTGGGTAGTTGCCACAGAAAGCATATAGCCCACCAGGAATATTTACTACCTGGTCCTTTGTTGACACTTGGTTAAGCCATTTTTACACTTCTTTTTTTTTTCAAAACTTATTTTTTATTTATTTTAAAGGCAGAATTATAGCACAAGGAGGAGAGACAGAGAGGTCTTCCATCCACTGTATCAGTGCCCAAATGGCAGCAATGGCAAGGGCTGGGCCAGGCCAAAGCCAGGGAGCCTGGAGCTTCTTCTGGGTCTCCACATGGATGCAGGGACCCAAGCACGTGGGCCATCCCACATTGCTTTCCCAGGCACATTAACAGGGAGCTGGATCAGAAGTGGAGCAGTGGGGTCTCGAATGCCCACATGGGATGTCAGAAATGGTGTCGCAGGCAGAAGCTTAACCTGCTACCTACTATGCCACAATGCCAACCTCTATTTTTACACTTCTACACACCTGTCTTAATTCTGAAGCTGAGAGAAAATATCCCTTAAAATACAAAGCAATATCTTCCAATAGGTCTTGGGTGAGTACAGCTCCTAAGAGGCAGTATAGCATTATTCTGCATAATAGAACCAATTTCCAGAATTCTCCAGTAGCAGCCTGCCATTCTATTAACTTGGAACAGGGGCAAAGTCATGAGGACATTCGGTCTTTGTATACTGTAGATAAAATTTCAATCTAAAACGATTTTTAAAAAAATACTTAAAGAAACCATAGCTTGCTTTAAATTTGTGTGTTTTTCTTCAGAACTAAGTAAAAATCTCATTGAAAATCTTCATTTATTTAGAAATCATCTGAAGATTTTGGAAGTGCCATGTTTCTTTTATTCATTGTTTTAGATTTCAAGCAGTCTCCATGATAAGGAGGGAAAGCAAAAAGAAAAAAAGATAGATACTCTGTCTCCCTCAACAGAATTCTCTGAAGACCCTATGTCCTGACTCTTTTTAACTCAAAATCATTTTATGTGTCTTTCTATATTATCTGTTTAGCTAAAAGAGATTGATGAAAAGTGAATAAAATTAATTCTGTTCCAG